CGAGCCATCTCGCTCTGGCATAAGCATCATCCCCTTCAAGGGTCACAAAGTCTTCAACAGGACTCTGCCTTACCCGAGCCGCTTCTGCTCCAGCATAAGGCTTTCTCTCTCCATTAAAGTCACAAATCTCTGGTACATCCACAAGCTCCTCTGTGAGCTGCATGGGGGGTTTCTTCAACCCAACAAACTTTCACAAATGGCAGGGATTTTATTTTTTCAGTCTTTTCCCTGCTGAAGGGAGGGAGAGCGAAAGGGAGAAGAAGCAGCTCTCACCCCTTCGAACCTTTCTTCTCTCTCCTCCGACTGCCAGCTTTGACCTTGAAAATCCTTTATCTCTTCACTGGAATTTCTTTGCAGCGGTTTCTGTCCAAGGAGTTTGTCTTTTAAACTCTTTTTTCTTCACTCTCATACAGAAGAGAAGGGAGGCTTCAGTACTACACCTGACCCCCAGGCCCAAGCCGGGGGAGGAGGGGGCCTTGGCCCTCCTCAGGCCCGCTATTCTTCTACATGGCTACTGCCTCTAATTTCAACTGCAACACTACCTTTCTCTTCCATTTTCTTAAAGATGTAATTAGCAAAGGCAATACTGAACTTTTTGATTGGTTTTTTTGTCCGGAAATCACCTGGACAAAACCATCCTCAGCCCCAGGGATGGGCTGGAGGGCAAAACAACAACAAGGGTATTTCAATTCTTTTAATACCTTGAGAGAGACCACAAGGTAGAAAAACCTACACATGTTTTCTCAGGAGGTCAAATAACACACTTTTACTGGCAAACTTTAGCAAATATAGGAGCTTGGTAAAAGTTGAAAGGGCAACATTTCACCAGAATAGAGCATTGCCCAAAGCACTGACTGATCACAGGCCAACCCAGACAAGTCAGCAAAAACCAACCCATCTGGTTTTAAGTGACCCAAAATATCAAGAGATGAAGAAAAGAAGAAGTAAAGAACATGAGAGAAGAAGAGAGAATTGCAGCTCCCACCCTCAGTCTCATGCCAGTCCAGCTTCCCCATGCCCAGATGGAGGTTCCGACCATGCGATGGCCGCACGGGGCTCGTTTGATTTGCTCTGCTCCCCGTGCCCACCCCCCAGGGGGGACTTGTGGCCCAGTGGCCACTCTGGGGCTCCAGGCTGTGGGATGGGGCAGTGCTCCTGGGCTGCCCAAGGAGGCTCCAAGGGGTGGGGAATGGAACAGGGCACCACCTCAGCTTTGGGAAATTCCACCTGTCCCTTCCCCACCCACACACACACTGCAGTTGTTCTGAGTCAAGAGTTATCACAATAATCCAGTGTCTCACAGTGTCTTTATTCCATGATGTTCCATGCTGTCACAGTGGTCCCTTATGCTCCATAGGCCCTGCACTGTGACCATGGTCCCTTGATTCCAGAAGATTCCCATATGTCACAGTGGTCCTGAGCATTCCATGAGGTTCTGAGGTGTCCCAATTGCACAGTGATTCCATCAGGTCCAGAGTGTCCCAGAATACTTTTGAATCCATGAGGCCCTGCAGTGTCACAATGGCCCTTGGTGCTGGGAGGTTGCACAGGGTCACAATGGCCCCTTTGTCTCCACATGGCCCTGCAGGGTCACAGTGTCACAATGGCACAGTGTCACAATGCCCCCTTGATTCCAGGAGGTTCAGCACTTCCCGGGACTCCTTTGGCTCTGTGATGCCCTGGAGTGTCATCAAGGCCCCTGGATTCTGTGAGCTGCCCCAGTGGCCAAGGGCCTTTGGCTCCATAAGGCCTTGCACTGTGACAATGGCCCTTGGATTCCAGGAGGTTCCAAAGTGTCACAATGGCCCTGATACCAAAAGGCAGCAGAAAGAAACCCCTCAACCCCAATTTGTAAGTATTAAGAAGCAGGAATTGGTCTTTATTCAGGACTGGACATTGGCAGGAAAGCTCCTCTAACCAAAGGTGCCAAATGACAGATGGACAGGGTTTCTTATTGCACACACTGGGTACATATTCGTGAGATGTTTAGGTTTGCTTAATACATATTCATTAGTTTGCTTCACAGAGTCACCCCCCTGCAGGTCCTTGTTTGGTCCTTCCAGGTCCAAAGGTTGTTGTCTTGTCCTCAGTTCTTGAGAAGGCACATCATGATCCTGTTCCAACAACAAAAACTGTTCTTCACCTTAGCTGGGGACACAGATCTTAAATACATCCTGTTAGTTTGAGTTACATCCATGATCTAATTCCCCAAGACTTCTCTAAGATAACACTGTTCCTTCTTTGGGCATTCTGGGACACTGTGAGTCAAGTTTCTATTTCTCCCATCACCATCCCATGGCACGGGCAGGACATCCAGGGGATCAGGCCCAGCCAGCGTGGGGTTGGGAAAGGCAGGTCCTGCCTGACCAACCTGGTCTCCTTCTGTGACAAATGACCCCCTCAGCAGCTGAGGGAAAGGCTGGGGATGTGTCTGTGCTGACTTCAGGAAAGCCTTTGACCCCATCTCCCACAGCATCTCCTGCACAAACTGGCTGCTCATGGCCTGGACGAGGGAACTGTTTGCTGGGGGAAAAACTGGCTGATGGCCCAGGGAGTGGTAGGGGATGGAACTAAATCCAGGTGGGGCCGGTCACCAGTGGGGCTCCCAAGGGCTCAGGGTTGGGGCTGCTCCTGTTTAACATCATTATTGTTGATCTGGATGAGGGGATCGAGTGCCCCCTCAGGAAATTCGTGGATCCCATGAAGTTGGGTGTGAGTGTGGATCTGCTGGAGGGAAGGAAGGTTCTTCAGAGGGATCTGGACAGGCTGCATCAATCAGGGCAAGTGTCAGACCCTTCTCTGGGGTCCCAACAACCTCCTGGAACGCTGGGGGCTGAGGGGCTTGAGAGCTGCTCAGCAGGAAGGGACTTGGGGTGCTGCTTGACAGTGACTGGATATGAGCCAGAGTGTGCCCAGGGGGGCAAGAAGGCCAAGGGCACCCTGGCCTTTCTGGAGAACAGGGTGGCCAGCAGGACCAGGGCAGTGATTGCCCCTCTGTGCTGGGCACTGGGGAGGCCCCACCTGGAGTGCTGTGTCCAGTTCTGGCCCCTCAGTGCAAAAAGGCCCTGGAGGGGCTGGAGCGTGTCCAGAGAAGGGAACAGAGCTGGGGAAGGGCCTGGAAAACATGTCTGATGAGGAGCAGCTGAGGGAACTGGGGCTCTTTAGTCTGCAGAAGAGGAGAACCAGAGTGGGCCTCATCACTCTCTACCATGACCTGAATGGAGGTTTTAGTGGGGAAGGGAGGTCGGTCTCTTCTACAAATCCTTTAGTGAGAGCAAGAGAGGAAATGACCTTGAGTTGCCTTGGGTGATTATGGTACTGCTGCTTGACAGCTGGACAAAAGATCCTGAAGATCTCTTCCAACCTTGATGATTTTGTGATTCTCTGACCTGGCATCACAGTTTCCAGGTTTGTGCTCTAACAAGATCCTGGGGATGTTTTCTCAGTTGGGTCCCTCAGTGGGACCCATTAACACTACAAGAAACTTTAAAGTTGAATCTCACTTTGGTTTCTCAAGAGGTTCCTCAACTCTCCTCAGGGTCTGATGTTCAGGGACTCATCCCCAAAGCCCCCAGGGTGATGAAATGCCTGGGGCTGTTGCTGTGCTGCTGAGCTGGGCCGGGCTCCTGGCACACAGGGAGCTCCTGGTAACCAAGAACAGCTTCAAAAAAAGAGCTCTGCTGCTGAGCAGCTCCTCTGCACAGCCCAGCAGGGCTGAGGGCACTGCCTGCAGCACCCAGGGCACAGGAGAGAAGGCAGAGAGATGAGAGGTAGCCTGGGCTGGGAGGGGACTGAGCTCGCACTATGGGATAAACCTTCCCAGGATTTGAATGAAGAATTCTCTGGCTGTAGGACACTTAAACTTCCCTTCCTGGAGGGATCTCCTAAAGCTGCCACAGCCCACAGCTTGTAGGATCTTTCAGAAGGACTCTCCCAGTCCCTGCAGGGCAGAGGAAGTGGCCCTATGGCAGGGTAGGGCAGGAGCTGCAGGCAGCAAGGGCAGCCAGGAGAAGGGAGCAGGAGGTGAAAGGGATCCTGGGCTGGGAGGACAGGGCAGAGCTACTCAGGGGAGGAACCTTGGCAGCCCTTTGGCACGGGAAGGCTGTGGCTGCAGAGCAGTGCAGGGGAGTTTTTGCAAGTGGCTCTTGCAGCTGCCAAATGGCAGCCCTGGCAGGAGCTGTCAGGATGGCTGTACTGGATTTGCTGGGGGGCAGCAGGAGAAGCTGCTGCAGAGCAGGACTTGCTGCTGCCCCATCAAAGTCCCAGGGCAAGATTCCCAAGGCAGATTACTATGTAGAAACAAACCCTTTGGGTGCTGCTGTGGGGATGTGTCTGTAGGAGCAAAATGCCCAAGTGCCCTCCAGGCAACTTCAGGCTCTTCAGCTGTTTCGCTGGGTGTCTTGCAAGGCTGCAGGTGGCCTCCAGAAGGGCATAGCTCTGCCATAATATCTCTTTGCTGCACAGGATTCCTGTGGAGAAAACTCCTCAGTGCTAAATCCATGGAAATGCTCTGAGCAGCTGCAATGAAAATTTTGTGTCTCTGTGTGGGATGGGAGAGATGAAAAGGTGAGGAGTGTTTCAATCTGTTCTTTGGACACGGATTCCTGGCTATCTGTGCAGGGGAACAGTTGAGTGTGATGCTTTTCCAGCTCCAAGCTGCCAGCACAGGGCAGCTGAGCACAGACTGATGGGCAGAACAGCTCTTGTGCCTGCACTGAGGGACTGTCCCTGTGCCCTCAGAACCCACAAGACTTGAGCTGCAGTGCAATGGAAATGTCAGGGATTTCCAACATCCACAACCACTCCTAACTGTGGCAGGTGGAAGTTGGGGAACAAACACAAGGAATTCAGATAGCAAAGCCAGAACTCAGGGGAAGAAGCTGCATGGAGGTCTGAGTGAGGAGAGAGAACCTGAGAGTGGGGTGGCTGTGAGACGTGTCCTGTTTGGCTGCAGCAGCCTGATCTAACTCAGCATTGACTTCTCCTCCTCAACAGATCCAAACACTCTGAGGAAGCAGCAAATGCTCAACAGCAGCTCCATGGCCCAGTTCCTCTTGCTGGCATTTTCAGACAGGTGGGAGCTGCAGCTGCTGCACTTCTGGCTCTTCCTGGGCATCTCCCTGGCTGCCCTCCTGGGCAACGGCCTCATCCTCAGCGCCGTAGCCTGCGACCAGCACCTGCACACCCCCAGGGACTTCTTCCTGCTGCACCTCTCCCTCACAGACCTGGGCTGCATCTGCACCACTGTGCCCAAAGCCATGCACAACTCCCTCTGGGGCACCACAACCATCTCCTACACAGGATGTGCTGCACAGGTCTTTTTCTTTCTGTTCTTCATTTCAATAGAGTTTTATCTCCTGACCATCATGTGCTATGACCGCTACGTTGCCATCTGCAAACCCCTGCACTACGGGACCCTCCTGGGCAGCAGAGCTTGTGCCCACATGGCAGCAGCTGCCTGGGCCTCTGGGTTTCTCACTGCTCTGCTGCACACAGCCAATACATTTTCCCTGCCCCTGTGCCAGGGCAATGCCCTGGGCCAGTTCTTCTGTGAAATCCCACACATCCTCAAGCTCTCCTGCTCACAATCCTACATCAGGGTAATTGGGCTTCTTGTGGTTACTGCCAGTATATCACTTGGTTGTTTCATTTTCATAGTTTTCTCGTATGTTCAGATCTTCAGGGCTGTGCTGAGGATTCCCTCTGAGCAGGGACGGCACAAAGCCTTTTCCACGTGCCTCCCTCACCTGGCTGTGGTCTCTCTGTTCCTCAGTACTGGCTCATTTAACTACTTGAAACCCCCCAACATCTCCTCTCCATCCCTTGATCTGGCACTCTCAGTTCTGTACTCGGTGGTGCCTCCAGCACTGAACCCCCTCATCTACAGCCTGAGGAACAAGGAACTCAAGGATGCCATAAGGAATTTGATGAGTGGATGCTTTTCCAAGGCATCAAACTTTCTGGTTTCTGCTATGTAACATTCAAAAATTGGACTCCCTAATGCCCCAGCCTTCTTACTCAGCTTTTTGGGAGAGGTCATTGGGTTCTTCTTGAAGTAATTTTCTGTGCAATTACATATTTTTATGCATCTGCCTTGTAATTTAGCGTCTGCTCATTGATTTTTACCCAGAGATGTATAAGTGATGATTTGTGCTCTCTTCTTATTTAAACAAAATAAAGGACCCTGCAGTGCCTTCTTTGTCCAAGACCCTCCTTTTTAGGTGTTCCTAAAGGACAGCACACTGCAGGACAGGGGGCATTTGCAAAGCGGAAGGGCACAAGAATCCCAGAACAGCAGCACTGCCAGGGAGCAGCAGAGCTTGGTCTTTGCAGAGCTGCTCTTTCCACTTCCATGACGAACGCTGAGGTGGATAGGGAGAGGGAATCCCAGAACAAGAGGCCTTTCCTTTTACTCCTAGCTCTGAGGGGGAGCGGTGCTCCCTTCCCCTCCCCCCTTTACCCTGGGGCACCTCATCGCCCCCCAGAGGGTCCACTGGTGCCAGCAGCCAGGCAGGAGAGATGCAGGCAGAGAGGATTTTATTGTTCTGGTAATGGCTTAAATTGCTCTTGGAGGAATCATAATGTGACCAGTGAGAGTTCAGGAGGTCTCACAAACCAACCAATTGCAAGAAAGGGTTAACAGCCAATAGGTGTGTTTTCAGGTATCTCTTAGACATTCCAAAGATACAGTGAGGGATCTTGGGAAGAAGAAGGGTTACACAAAGGGTTACAATCACCATTTTAGAAGTGTGCTCACTTTAAACAATCATTACAACTTCAGCATACTTTTATATACTGCAACACTTCCACACTGTCCTCCTGAGCCCCTTTCTCTCTGGAGGGCCTGAGCGCTCTCTGAGCACAGTCCTGGGGGTGGAAGCCCTTTGAGCACAGGCAGGGACAAGCACTGGCAACTTGGGAAGCTGGGATCCCTGACAGCATCTACAGGATGCTGTGAGGTCTTCTGAGGGCACTGCATGGACTGGCTCACTTCTTCTGTGCCCTTGCTGCAGGGCTGGAACTCTCCTGCACTGACACCAGGACACTCCTGCTCTTTGCATTGCCAGCCTGATTTGGAAATCCAGTCTTCCCCTGCTGTTCCCAGGGACATGCTGGGAGTGCTTCAGAGGTGCCATCCTGGGGCAGCTCCTGCCCAGCGTGGGCAGGCACAAGGTCTCTCCCCCTGCTCCTCTCCCCTCAGCAGTGCCACTGTTTGGTGCAGCCTCCTCCTCCTTGCCCAGCACAGCCCTCCTGGCATAGTTGGACACAGCCCTTGTTCTACCCCCTCCTCATGGCCCTGCCCAAGCCCCTCAGCTACAGCCTGATGGCCAGAAACCTTCAGGGCAGGGACAGACCACTGGAGTGGTGAGTCTGTAGGGAGAAATCACTGCTGCCTTTCTTCTGAATCACTCTCAGGACCTGGACAAGCCTGTTTTTGGTTTGTTTCCATGAGGCCTTACTTTGTTAAAGTGGACTCTTGATTCCAGGAGGCTGCTCAGTGTCCCCGGGATCCTTTGTCTCCAGAATGCCCTGGAGTGTCACAGTGGTCCCTTGAATCCATGAGGTGTCCTCAGTGTCACAATGACCCCTTGATTCCGTGGGGTTCCCCAGTGTCCCAAGGTCCACTTGGCTCCAAAAAGGCCCTGTAGTGTCATGGTGGCCCCTTCCTTTCATGAGGTTCCACTGTGTCCCAGGGTTTCTTTGTTTCCAGGAGGCACCACAGTGACACAATGGCTCCCTGGTTCCATCAGGTTCCAAAATGTTTCAGTTTTGTTCCACAAGACCCCACATGTTAAATGGTACCCTGGTTCCACAAGATTTTGCAGTGTCCCTCTGTTCCTTTCTTTCCATGAGGCCCTGCAGTGTCACAATGGTCCCTTGATTTCATGAGGTTGCACAGGGTCATCACAAAGCTGAGCCCACCAGGTGAAAGTCTGGGAGAGATCAGGAGGAAATAAGACAAAAAGGACTGGATATTTGGGAAAGGAAAGAGGGGCTTGGTCAAAAGAGGAAAGATTTTGATGAGGTACAAGCAGGTTCAGGGAATGCTGAGGGTGCTGAAACACCGACTGTGCAAACAGTCCTGATGGACCTTTACCCTCTTTTAACCTCTTTGAAGCCGCAACCTAAAAGTGCTGCCCCTCCCATTGAAAGGAATCCACTGTTCAAATCCCCAACTCACCCTGACTTCAAAGGCAAAGCCCAAACGCAGAACTCCAGATTCTTACTAGTACTCTAATGCCCACCCCAATCCCAAACCTGTATTACCGGTATGAAAATCCAGGCTTTTATCCTAATGCAACCCAAAACCATAATCATGAACCAGACCCTGCCAGCAGAACAATAAACCTCCCAAAGTTCTGCCCAATCCCCACCCTGAGCTCTAAAGCCCAAGGCCTGACCATGAAGCACCCCCACAGCCCTTGGGAGCAGGGCAAGGACCTGCAGGGCCCAGAGCAGGCCCAAGGGGTTGGCAGAGCAACGGGAGGTGTCGTGGTTTTGCCCACCAGCCCATCCCTGGGGCTGAGGATGGTTTTGTCCAGGTGATTTCCGGACAAAAAGCCAATCAAAAAGTTCAGTGACGCCTTTGCTAATTACATCTTTAAGAAAACGGAAGAGAAGGTTGGTGGCGCAGTTGAAATTAGGAACAGCAGCCATGTAGAAGGGTAGCGGGCCCAAGGAGGGCCAAGGCCCCCTCCTCCCCTGCTTGGGCCGGGGGGGGCAGATGTAGTACTGAAACCTCTCTTCTCTCTTGTGAGACAGAAAATAAAAAAAAAGGTTTAAAAGACGAACTGCTTAGATGAGAAACCGCTGCAGAAGAATTCCAGCCATGAGATAACAGGATTTTCAAGGTCAAAGCTGCAGTCGCAGAAGAAAGAAGAAAAGTTCGAAGGGGGGAGAACTGCTTTTTCTCCCTTTCGCTCTCTCTCCCTTCAGCAGGATAAAGACTGAAAAATAAAACCCTGCCACCTGTAGAAGTTTGTTGGGGTGAAGAGACCCCCGTGCGGCTCACAGAGGAGCTTGTGGATGCACCAGAGATTTGTGACTTTAACAGAGAGAAAGCCTTATGCTGGAGTAAAAGCGGCTCAGATGAGGCAGAGTCCTGTTAAAGACTTTGTGACTCTCAAAGGGGATGATGCTTATGCTGGAGTGAGACGGCTCAGATAAGCTCGGAATCTCAGTGAGAGATCCATGCTGCTGGTGCTGGAAATTTGTGATCCTGAGAGGACCTAGGCTGGAACAGAAAACGGTTTGGGTAGGGATATTGGGATCCATGCTGCTAGTGCTGGAGATTTGTGATCCTGAGAGAACCTACGCTGGAACAGAAGACGGTTCGGGTAGGGATATTGAAGATTTATGACCCTGAGGGGAATGAGAGAACCTACGCTGGAGCAGAAAATGGCTCAGGTAGGATATTGAGATCCGAGTAAGGGATCCAGACTAGACCCATGCCGAGAAGTCAATCAAGGACTGTTCTCCCATGGGGAGGGACCTCCATAGGGAAACAGGGGTGAACTCTTAAACCATTATCCCCTGTAACCCTGTGGAAGAAGATCCATAGTAAGCAAGTGTCCCCTTGCAAGCCTATGGAAGGAGATCTTTCAGGACCTGGGTAACCCTCAGCCTTCGGTTTTAACCCAGGAGGGGGGTAGACCCAGCCCTGGAAGCCAACACAGAATGAGAGAAAAATAAAGAAGTTCAAGCTGCGACGAAAGTGCTGCAGAGTTACTGGAGAGAGAAAGCTGGAATTCTGAGAACAGAAAAGGACTGCTTCTCCTCCTTGGACTGATATAAAGGGAGGTGGGGGGAGAAGTATCTTCTGTAAATACATAATACCTTTTACTTAAGTAAAATTATTGTAGATATAATTCTTTAGTTTTAGTTTGATAATAATAATAAATACTCATACTTTTTTTTAATTCAGTCTCTTTTTGTCTGCATAAACCTTCTCTCAACTAGTAGTAATTTTATGTGGGAGTATAAAAGTAAATTGAGCCAGGGCAAAACCACGACAGGAGGTGACCTGGATCTGCTCAGCTCTGCAGGGACCCCCAGCAGAAGGGCCTGGGCTCTGTCAGGGATGTCCTGGGGCACAGGGGCTCAGCAGCAAAGCCAAGAAGGCCAAGTGCACATGGCAGCAGCCAGAGCTGGGGGACAGCAGAGCCATCAGGGAGGGCCCAGAAATGCTGCTGGGAGGGGGGTGGGAAAGCAGGAGGGGTGTGTGCAGCCTGCAAGGGCAGAGGAGCAGCAGGGCCAGGGGAGCACAGCCTGCAGCAGAGATGGCCAAGGGCTCTGGCAGGGCTGCAAGGCCCAAAGGCACCCAGGCCTTTGTGCCCTTGGCTCTGGCAGCTGCCTCTGCCCCTCAGGCCACCACAAGCAACTTTCCTGGCAGCTTCTGCCCTTGGGTTCTGCCTCGCCCCTCCCTGAGCAGCCTGGCAGGGCTTGCCCAGTTTTGGGCCTTTGTTGTTGCTCCCCCTCCCATCCCACTGCCCCCAAACAGCCCTGAGCCCCCCGGCAGGGACAGGATCTGCTGGGCCAGGGCCTGGGGCTCAGCCTTGGCCTTTGTGCTCCACAAACCAAGGCAGGCTTTGTTCAGCATTGCAGGGGCCTGCCCAGAGCCTTTGTCTGCCTGCACTCCTGGCCTGCAAGGATCTGCTCGAAGGAGTCCCTGGGGAGGCTTTGTCAGTGCCTGCCCTCAGTGGGGCCCAGCAATGCTTCAAGGGACTGGGAGTTTGAGCAGCTTCTTAGTCTTCTCTCAGTACTTGAGAATCATGGACTCTGCTGCAAATACTCCATGGGGTTCATTAAAATCCAGAAATCCGTTGTGATCTCTTTGTCTTCTTTTAATTACCTTCAAGGCAAATTCAAAACAACTCTTCAAACTTTGTTTTTTTTTTTTTTTTTTTTTTTTTTTTTTTTTTTTTTTTTTTTTTTAATTCCAGGATGGATATTTTTTCCATTCAGAGGAGAGGTGACA